ATTTTGGGCGGTATTTTGAATTCTCCGGAAAAAATTGCTGAGGAGAAAAATTCGCACCATGTGGCCAGCCTTGGCGATGAAGCATTGAAGGGTGTCCGATTTTGGGCGAAAATTATTTGGCAGCACTGTAACATGTACATGATTGTACGAGTTAGTATGCGTCTATGACTATGAGTCTGACTGTCCACCAATAACAAGCAGTTGGCTGTGGCTGCACTGCCTACTGTACAGTACTACTGTACTCTGTAGCCGTACAGGCCGGCTGCACCCGTGAAGTGCTGAACTGACTGTTCAGAGCAGGGAGTCGTGTCCCTGGTTCAGAGTGTTCTGGCAGATATATCCAGATATCTGGTGCCTCAGCTCACTGACTGTTCTGGAAAGGTCTATCAATAATAATTACCCATATAAAAACCGCTCTGTGAGCGGTTCTGAAAAACCTCTACTGGTGCAGCCCCGTCGTAAAAGTAAGAAATTAGAACTGGCGCATTGTCCTCCCAAATGTGAACTGATCCACCTAAATCGCGATTGACGGGACCCGAACGCACCAGTAGCACGAAGTTCCTACCTGTGGATGCAGCTGGGGACGCTGGTCCATAGCCAAAGCCAAAGCGGCAAAGGTGGGCTTCGGGGTAGATCTAAAGTGTTGTATGGTAACTTGATCAGCGCCGACGCCGGCTGTGATCCTGTGCCCTCCCGACCTCGTGCTACTGGTGCGTTCGGGTCCCGTCAATCGCGATTTAGGTGGATCAGTTCACATTTGGGAGGACAATGCGCCAGTTCTAATTTCTTACTTTTACGACGGGGCTGCACCAGTAGAGGTTTTTCAGAACCGCTCACAGAGCGGTTTTTATATGGGTAATTTCAGTTCTTTTTCTGTTCCCTCCCCACCCCAGCCCAGCTCCGAAGATAAACATGGTGAGCACGCGCGCGATGCACTGTATGTAGCCATGCAACTGCAGTAGCACACTGAAACATTCCAGCCCTCCCCACCTTGCTACCCCGCACACAGACACCTTGTGACAAACACGCACATGCACATGGCACACACACACATGGGCACGCACACACATACATACATACACACACACAACCCAAACAGGAAATTCTTGATGAACATTGTATAATGCCATGGAAAGCAGTGGCCACCATACTTCAGGAAGTCAGTTGTGAAACAAAAATAATTCAACTACAATGTGTAGGTAAGCTGGCGGCCAAAGCACAACATTGCAAACCGTGATGATATTTGCCTAAGGATTGCAGTTTGCAGACCACACCATGGAAGCAGTGAATACAGAATTATGGTAATGTCATTTAAAGACAAGCAAAGAAGTGGCCACCATACACCAGAAACTTGCAGAAAGTCACATATCCAACAGATAGAGAAGTGAACAGCATCTGGTACAGCACACACAAAACCAAGCTGACCTGATACTCGTCCGAAGATCGTAAGTGGCAGATCCTTTTCAACGATAGCATGCAGGTGTACGTTACACGCATTGACAAAATCTGACTGTGTCACCGGCATACATTGTCATCACATGCATACCCCACAAGTTACACACATGCACAGTAGAAGCACAATAAAAGCAATGGAAAAATATGAAGGGGTTGCTGAAGCATCTTCACACTTCAATTTCAGACTTCGATGTGGTCGTCACGGGGTGATATACCTGCAAGATACAAGTGATACAGAAAGAAAGCATAAGGTCGTGAGGTAGGCTATGAGACACCACAAATGGGTCACCTACATGTATGTTAAGGGCTGGTGTACACACACACGCAGAATTATCATAATCGAGAATTTCCCAAACTACAGAAGAGCAATGAAATCCATTTGCATGCACAGGAGAAATTTTGCAGTATGATGCGCAGCTCGGGAATACACCTGTTGGCAATGGATTACATTCCCATTGGAATTCCCATTCACGTGGGATTCACAGAAGCAATTTGGCAGTGTGCTGCGTAATGCGACACGACCTGCGATTCTGCGTGCGATGCAAACTCGCACAAAATACCATTCACAGAATCACGACAAGATGTCAGCGATGCAACAGCGCCTTGCTGACGTGCCTCAAGTCAAAGCTCAATGAGAATGCGTTTGTCGGTTACAACTGGTACAAATGTACAAGCAATTTCTGAAAATGCTCCTGTGAATCGTGCTAAGCAGTGCAGGAATGTCCCTCCTCCGCTCCCCCCCCCCCCCCTCCACACCCTCAGGGAACTTGACAAGGAAGGGTGGTCTTCGCGGTTCCCAACATCTATTTGCAGTTTCTGGTCTCCACTATGTCTTTTCAATGGGGATTTGTACGTACCATAAAAGCAAGCCTAAAAAATGAACAGCACATTTGCCGTCCCCCCACTGGGGAGGATGCATTCCACAGCTATCCTGACAAGATATTCCGAGAAGCGGTGCTGAGTGCAATGCATTGTGAAACTGAAAAGCTGACCAAGCCGCGGCATATAACGTCTAAACTTCAATTGTAGTTCGCCAGCTGACTACTTTCAAACTCCATGTAGGTTGGAGTACAGCTGGCTTAGAAGTTGACAACAACGGCGCACGCACATAAGCAATGGCCACCTTACCTGTACTGTAGCAGTACTTCCGAGTTCCCGTATGGGAGTGCCCACACTGTGTGTGCAATAGCAGCCTCATCGGACCAGTTCAATGCGACGCGGACAGTCCGACACTGAGGAGGACATTGAAGAAGTCAGAGACAGGAAGAATGGTTGATTTACAATTCAACTAGCAAGGCTGCACACCCACGAGGTTCCACTCACCATTGTGCCGTCCTTCTTGGAATGCAGAAATAACGCTTCCTCTCGAGAACGCAGCCTGTGACAGAGAAAAAGGAAGGAGCATCGCCATCGGCATTGGTCCTCTGCTATCACCGATTGCCGAGTTGCACAGTTCACTCTAACAAGACTGAGGATGCTCAAGAACTCCCCATCCATACCATTATTGGAGTAAGAGGAAAGGTCAGATTGCCTAGTTCCTAGGGCCTAGTATTCCTGGATGCCAGGATGTGCTGCCCCCCCCCCCCCCCGCCCCTCCCTTCTACTGCCTGGAAAGGGCAACATATGTGACAGCGTTCACCAGTACAGTCGGAGGAGAACATGGGAGAAGGCAAAAAAGGGCAACACACATGAATCCCTTATAAACAAGCAGTGGCAACTCTAGTACCAGCAATGTTGGACTTACATCCCAGCCATTGTCGCCGGATGCAGCGGCTTCTTCTTCTTCGTCTCCCATCTTGGAAGCACTCCTTCCCGTAAGTTCAGTCCTGGGATCGGGAGTACAGTCGGAGGAGGACGTCGGAAAAGGCAAAAAGGCAACACACATGATCCCCTTATAAGCAAGCAGTGGCAACTCTGGCACCAGCAATGTTGGACTTACATCCCAGCCATTGCCGCCGGATTCCCACGCTTCCTCTTCGTCGTCTTCCAGTTCCCAGGTTCCATCTTGCAAATACTCCTTCTCGTAAGTAAGTGCAGTCCTGGCCTGGGTGGATGCGCAGTACATTGACGATGGCGGAGATGGAGCAGGTCAGGGAGCCCTATAGGGGTCCCGAGAGCAGATTGTGGCCAAATTCGGGACGATGCCGGACGCCAGTCAGTATGAAGTAGCGAATTGCGGACCGCCACGTAGATTGGGGTCGCGGGGTCATAATCCATGGGCACTACTCGTACGTTGCTCCAAAAAAGGGCACTGCACTGTTCCACAGTTGCTGTTAGCGGTCGCCAAAGGCACTTGGTAGGCCGGTAATTGGGTCACGTGTCAACAAAGTGTCAACAACGTGTCAACAACGTGTCGACCACGTGTCTTTAGCGGTACACTAATTTTGGTGTCCCCAAACTGAAAACATCGAGCACCAGTATGGAAAGGCTTTAGACAGAAAGCCTTTCCAATAATAGACCTTTCCAGAACAGTCAGTGAGCTGAGGCACCAGCCTTATCTATCACTCGACTCTATGACATAATCATTGACCATTGACAGATCTACGTAGATCTTTTATTTTTAGACATACATGTCTAGACACGTACTATAGTGTCACTATTTGTATTTTGTATTTTTATTTGTAGTACACGTGCACGTACTGTACAAATCTGTCTGTGACACGGCCTTCTTCCAGGGCAAGTCAACGGGGTTACGTCGGTAGATCTGTGCTCATTGTAATACTACCACTAGCACTAGTACTCTCTCTCTCTTTTCTACTCTAGTACTAGTCAGTACATGTAGTCTAGAACTTAGTAGAAGACTAGATGCAGACTAGTAGTAGTACTAGTACTAGTACTAGTAGTACTAGTAGTAGATTATTTTCCCCTTTTCGGACAAATCTACTTGTACTTGTTTTAGCTGTCTTGCGCTCATAATCATAATCATCGCCCTGCGAGTTTGAGCGCAGATCGATGGTAAAAATTAGTGTTTAAACCGAACACGGATTCTTCGAACGAATAATCTATCGAATAATTTCGCCCTCCATCGAACGAATAATCTATATTCTATCATACGCATGATGGCATTTTTCAACACTTTTTCAGCACTTTTTAAGTAGTTTTTTAATTTTTTTTGCTGATTATCGGATTTTGATGTCGAGGTGCCAAACCTGTTAACCTGTACCGCCAAGAGTACATAACCCCCCAGAGTGTGAAACGCCTGATCCAGTTCTGCATAGGGTCTTGGTCGAAAGTTGTCAAAGACCGAAAATCACATTCACTGCATCCATGTTTCCCTCGTATGGAAAGAACAGAAGTACATGTATTACTAGATACCGATAGGAGATTAAACCTTGGAGGAGAAGTGATTGAGAAGAAATACTACGAGCAGATCTACGCAGTGCAAATATCAGTAGGGTCAGCACTGAGCATAGATTTTTTTTTTTTTTTTTTCGATTTCTGATAATTCCTACGACTATTCGATTATTCGTTCACCCCACGAATATTCTAAATTATTCGATTATTCGATTATTCGTTTCAACACTAGTAAAAATGTGCTAGTGCTAGTAGTAGTGGTAGATTTATGCAGATCCTGGACGCGTTGCCAGTATCGTAACCGTGTCGTGAGTGGATATGCCGGGCCTTAGCGGCCTTGTCCTTGACGCGTTTCAGACCAGCCTCGAGTGAAACTCGTTCCCGCTCCAGGCAGCCGGAACGTGATAGCTGAGGGCAGCGGCAAGAGACAACATTATTTTGCTCGTCTCTTCGCTCTGTCTGTTTGAATTATTCGTTTTTAGCACGGTACCGGTACCGGATCGGGAGCGACAAGTACTGAAAGATGATGGACTCAACAAGGCAGCGCTCTGGGCGCAACCAGCCTCTCTCTGTTTCCAGCATCGAAGGTAACGCTCCTCACTATTTCGTGTGTAGATCGTCGGGTGTCATTATGGACAATGTATGGTTCATGTTGTGCGAAGCGAGAGAAAGCACTCTCAGCGCTTTCCTGAAACTAGCCTCGAGGCAGCTGGAGTAACTCCTGAGTCCTGGGAAGACCCTCAGACTCAGCCCAAGTAGGCCTACAGTGCTGTTCAAAGAAATCCGATCACGGGAATCAAGTAGTTTGCGCCCTGTGCCAGTTCGCATATCCCAGTGCAAACAGTAGTACCACTAGTGGTAGTGTTCGCAAGTCTAGACTCTGTAGAGGCTGGAGTTGGACAGCTCCCGGTGTGGCATTCGCTGGTTTGATCGGATTTCATGGAGCAGCACGATTAGTATAGTATAGTATAGGTGGTTCTATGCTACAGTAGAAATATTTTGCCAGTGGATTCCAAGAGCGCCGCCATCTACTAGTGTTACCAAGAGTACATAAGCCCCCAAGAGTGTACAACTCCTGATAACCTTTCTATGGGGTTCGCCAACCGCGAAAACTCACATCACGCAGTGCAGCATCGCAGTTGTACTTTTCCAGCCCGTTTCTAGCGGGCAGCGGAGTAATAAAAAAAGCACTTTCTGACAGAAACTCACTGCGTGTATGCAAATCCCCAGCATGATCATGGCAGATATTCGGATTGCGCGCACGCTATCCTTCGTTTGTACGTAGGACGAAACGTACCTGAGACACGTGATGTGAGGTTTCGCCGTCGGAGACCCCATATGCAGAAATGCACACTTTTTTTGGGGGGGGGGGGGGGTTCTAATTGTACTCTTGGGGGGGGGGGGGGTCTATTTATACTCTTGGTATTACTACATGTACACTCAACTGTGCGTATAACGACACTCGGCGGGGCATCAGAAAAGTGTCCTTATTCGCGAAGTGTCCTTATACCCGAAGTCTCATTATAATATGAACAGTTAGATGGGACTTTGCTCTGGGCGTGGAAATTCTGTCGTTATTCGCGAATTGTCGTTATGTACGCAGTCGTTATGTCCGCAGTCGTTATGTACGCAGTCGTTATGTCCGCAGTCGTTATGTACGCAGTCGTTATGTCCGCAGTCGTTATGTACGCAGTCGTTATGTCCGCAGTCGTTATGTACGCAGTCGTTATGTCCGCAGTCGTTATGTACGCAGTCGTTATGTCCGCAGTCGTTATGTACGCAGTCGTTATGTCCGCAGTCGTTATGTACGCAGTCGTTATGTCCGCAGTCGTTATGTACGCAGTCGTTATGTCCGCAGTCGTTATGTACGCAGTCGTTATGTACGCAGTCGTTATGTACGCAGTCGTTATGTACGCAGTCGTTATGTACGCAGTCGTTATGTACGCAGTCGTTATGTCCGCAGTCGTTATTAGCCAAGTTGACTGTGCCCCGTGTACGCACTCTGCAATATCTAGTCTTGACTAGCTTCAGCTTAGGCTTTCCTTGCCATGTGCAGTGCTGGCCATTGCCATGTGCAGTGCTGGCCATTGCCATGTGCAGTGCTGGCCATTGCCATGTGCAGTGCTGGCCATTGCCATGTGCAGTGCTGGCCATTGCCATGTGCAGTGCTGGACAAAGAAATCCAACACCTCATGAATAAAATAGCGTTGTCTGGAGGCTGCGCGGCCCTAGCACTACACACACTGGCCCTAGCACTACACATACTGGTCCTAGCATTACACACACTGGCCCTAGCACTACACATACTGGTCCTAGCACTACACATGCTGGCCCTAGCACTACACACACTGGCCCTAGCACTACACACACTGGTCCGTGCACTCTGACGCGGCCCTAGCACTACACCCACTGGTCCGTGCACTCTGATGCGGCCCTAGCACTACACCCACTGGTCCGTGCACTCTGACGCGGCCCTAGCACTGCGCACACTGGTCCGTGCACTCTAACGCGGCCCTAGCACTACACCCACTGGTCCGTGCACTCTAACGCGGCCCTAGCACTACACCCACTGGTCCGTGCACTCTAACGCGGCCCTAGCTCTACACCCACTGGTCCGTGCACTCTAACGCGGCCCTAGCTCTACACCCACTGGTCCGTGCACTCTAACGCGGCCCTAGCTCTACACCCACTGGTCCGTGCACTCTAACGCGGCCCTAGCTCTACACCCACTGGTCCGTGCACTCTAACGCGGCCCTAGCTCTACACCCACTGGTCCGTGCACTCTGACTACTGTATTCATGAGCTCGGATTTCTTCGACCAGCACTGTGCGTGGCCGAAAGAGCACGTTCGTCGGGTACAGAACTAGAACAGGATCACTCGGAGCACGCATGTTCGCCTGACCTGCACTGGATACCGAGCGAACAGAACATACTCTGGCTACTCCAGGTCTTGAGTTGAGATGGTGCGGGCCAAAGCAGTTTTGCTTTTGCTGCTGCTAACCTGTTCGTTTTCAGATTCTGACGTAATGTTTTTCAATGTCCCGCATAATCGAGAAAGGATGAACTGAGGCGCCATGAATTCCATGTCAACGTCGCAGAAGCTGTTCCGCGTGCACCGCTCGCGTTGCTCCATGTGCATGCTCTGCTCTCAGAGCACTGCCGGCCAACACGCAGTTAGACTCAGTCTTGCGTACAGCTGTGAACAGTTTGAGTTGCTAAGGCGAGCTATGGTGACTAATTGTTCTCGCTATTTGATACATCGCTGCCGGGCGTGTTTCTGCTCAATGCGCGTCTCTCACACTACAGCTTACCCCCCCCCCCCCCCCCCCCGCCCCTCTCACACTACAGTTTACCCCCCCCCCCCCGCCCCTCTCATACTATAGTTCCCCCCCCCCCCCCCGCCCCTCTCATCCTATAGTTCCCCCCCCCCCCCCCCCCCCGCCCCTCTCATACTATAGTTCCCCCGCCCCTCTCACACTACAGTTTACCCCCCCCCCCCCCACCCCTCTCACACTACAGTTTACCCCCCCCCCCCGCCCCTCTCATCCTATAGTTCCCCCCCCCCCCCCCCCCGCCCCTCTCATACTATAGTTTACGCACCACACTTTTCATACTATAGTTGTCAGAAAACCCACGGCGCTATACCCCAGAACAACTCCATGACTATTCCGGCCACGGCCAGCTAAAACAGGCCCTTCAGTGAAATTTTTCCAAAAATTGTATTCCAGAAAATTGTCACTTTGCTCGCCAGCTGCTTGAACTAGACTGCCAAACAAGTATGATAAGAGAGTTCCTTGTTTGAAGCCTAAAAATTGTACAGAATTTGTTTCTCTTTCCAACTCCCTCAAGCTGACGGATCACTCTCTCTCTCTCTCTCTCTCTCTCTCTCTCTCTCTCTCTCTCTCTCTCTCTCTCTCTCTCTCTCTCTCTCTCTCTCTCACACACACACACACACACACACTCTCTCTCTCTTCTCTCTCTCTCTCTCTCTCTCTCTCTCTCTCTCTCTCTCTATCGCTCTATCTCTCTCTCTCTCTCTCTCTCTCTCTCTCTCTCTCTCTCTCTCTCTCTCTCTCTCTCTCTCTCTCTCTCTCTCTCTCTCTCTCTCTCTCTCTCTCTCTATCTCTCTCTCTCTCTCTCTCTCTCTCTCTCTCTCTCTCTCTCTCTCTCTCTCTCTCTCTCTCTCTCTCTCTCTCTCTCTCTGTCTCTCTCTCTCTGTCTGTCTCTCTCTCTCTTTCAATCTGTTCTTTTTACAGTGGCTCATCAGGCTAAGTCTCTTGCACCTGACGACATCTACCTGAAGACTGGCCTGCTGTGCGCCAACAACAACAGCAGCGTAGGCATGTCAGCATGCTCATTTGACGAGCACGAATCAGAATGCCAGCATGTCGACGAGACGTGCGACCCAAGCGGCCTCGGTCACACCGACTCATCAACTTCGCTCAGCATCACAAGCTGTCCGTCGCTGGTGGAAAATGCGCATGTGCTCGCAAAGGTGCAGGATTTCGATACACTCCGAGCGAAGACCGTCAATGCCCGGGATGACAGCGACAGCATGGAGCAGGCTTCAGCGTTCACAGGTGGCGGATACCAAGCCGAGTTCGTGACCAGTATGGATCCGAATCTGAAGTGCTCAATTTGTTTGTTGGTGTTGCGTGACGCCATGCAAACACCGTGCGGTCATCGCTTCTGCAGGGACTGCATAGCGCCTGTCCTCAAGTAAGCATCCATTCTTGAGGGTATGTGGGCGTTGAGTCGAGGTGGGGACGGGTGTTTGGAACAGGGTTAGAGGGCTTCGATTGGTGCTAGGCTTGTGGTGTGTCTCGTGGTGGGTCTGATCCACTCGCCTCCCACCACTTCAGGAGCTACATCCGCGCCTTTTTTTTAATGCTATGAGTACTGACACATTTGAGAATAATTATTATGTAATGCCCCCCCCCCCCCCCCCACGCACACACCCTTCCCTATCATATTATTGGCCAACGGTCCTGTTTGACTTTGCGGAGTAAAATACAGAATATAATAAAAATGAGGGTGGTAGCGATCCTACGGATGCGGAGAGCTCGGTCTAACCGAGTGTAACGCGAATGGTGAATTTCGTTGTGCTCTTTCTCTCGTTCACGCTTCTCGCCCATGCTAGGGTAATCATATCTTCTGTGTGTTCCATGGAATGTTAGGCAGCAGTGTCTGCAGTTATCCTTTCACCTATTTTTGTGTGCTCTGTTTCGTGTGATATTTGCTCCAGGGGGAAAAAGCCGCTGTGTCCCGTTGATAGAAAACAGCTGCTGGCTGTAAGTGAGACCCCCGCCACCACCCTTCCTTGTCCTAATTGCCATCTACACATCACGGTATTGAATGTCCTGAGCACAAGTAACGGACTATTAAGTTCGCATGCATGCTGTTGACATCGGGTTGCCGAAGTCGTGCTTTGCACAGTCAAATTCTTCCTCTGAACACAGATCTGAATGTGTGTATGCAGTAAAAATTCTTCCTCTGATCACAGGTCTGAATGTGTGTATGCAGTAAAAATTCTTCCTCTGATCACAGGTGTGAATGTGTGTATGCAGTAAAACCTGGTTTAAGCGACCACCCCTACGGTGCAAGCAAAAGCGGTCGTTCAAGCCAGGTGGTCTGTAGGACCAGGTCCCACAGTGTCTGTGTAGAACTGCCGGTGCATGGAAAAATGGTCGTTAAGAGCAGGTGGTCGCTAAGTCGAGAGGTCGCTTACACCAGGCTTTACTGTATACGCATGTAATTGGCGACTGAGGTGACAGGTCTCTACACACGTGTGCTACACGGAAAACCGGTGTTTATAGAGACGGAAAGGCGGTCACACGATTATGTGTTGTCACACAACCTGTCTACGAAAGATCAGTTTTCTGTGCACCATGGATGGGTGCGGAACATGGTACTGTCCCGGGACCGGTGGAAGTAGTTCTGGATTGGTCCAGCCGTATCACATAGCCTTTCATTCTTGGCGTATGGTACAGTCCAGGACTCGTTGTTGGTGACCACTTTAATGCGCTTTCCCGAATCCCTTCTCACTAATCATATCCCCAATTCATTTCGCCAGGAACTTAACTCATTCATTCATCTTCGGCACCCTGTAAGAATACGTTAGGGTCTGTTGGGAATGCCCAAGTAAAATAATAAAATACAACACAATACAATAGCTGGTGAACATATCCTCCTGAGCTGTAAACATGTGTCAGTGACCAACAAGTTGGTCCGGTGGTGATCTGACTAAGCACTCCGGCTCCGGCGGTTCCTGTGTCCATGCGCGCACCGCATCTAGACGTCAATGCGGCTCCGTACCGAGCAGCTACGATAACACTATCAGTTGGGTTGCCTTGGCAACGTTGCGGCAAAGGGATGCGCTAGCCCACTCGCACTGCGTGTGCGTAACAGCCGTAAACGATTCCGCTGACTCGCCTCCATGACATCATTCGCATAAACTCCATAGAGGTTATGCGATGACATCATCAGCTGAGATGCCTTGGCAAAGTCGCGGACTTGCGGCACAGCGCCGCACTTGCACTAGTGACTCAGGCTGCATACTTGGCGCCCATTCGACAATCCGCTTATTCACTACCATGACGTAGTTTGCGCAAGCTCTATAGAGGTGATACAGGTTGTTGTGATGTCTGCTGCGGTGTTCAGGTGTTTCCTGACGCACTGTGTCAACGGGAAGTGTTTGAGCTACCCGTGCGATGTGACAATTACAATCAGTGTGACTGGACCGGGGTTCTGCGGGATCGCGAGGTAAGGGGCGTTGTGTGTGTGTGTGTGTGTGTGTGCCTGCGCGTGTACACGTGTGCGTCCGTGTGTGTGTGTGCTTTCATGCGTCCACACGCGCGTTAGTGTGCAGGTCCACGCATCTGGTCGAAACAGTGCAAACGGGAGATTTGGGGCAGCTGTAAAATCTGCAACTGGGTTGACAATAGCATTAGGGTGCCCTTATTGGTAATTGTAATGATCATCAGTTCCTTGTCTTCATCGTGGTTGTTCTGCAGCTTCAGGCATCAGGAGATTTCGGATCGTCGTGTACTTACGAGGCTTGTCCTGTAACCTATGTTGTACTAGCGAGGGTAGACTGTGTGGGGGGGGGGGGGGAGGAGAGCATTAGGGGGGCAGTACTACTTTTGACAATGAAAGTCAGTTCCTTGTCTTCGTCATTGTTGCTCTGCAGCTGCACATCGACGTCTGTCTGTACGAGGCGGTTTCGTGCAGCAACGAGGGCTGCGGCAAGCGGATGGAGCGCCGCCGCCTGCAGCAGCACGTGGAGCAAGAGTGCTCGTTCCGACGGTCAGCATGCCGGTATTGTAATGCGGCAATGTCAGTCTCGGCTCTGGAGGTGAGGGTGTGTGCGTTCGAAGAGCTGCGATGTAAAACCCGATAAACGCCAAATTTGAGAAAATGGGATTTTCAGCTCAGTGAACAGTATTCAAAGGGTTTAGGGCCACCATCAGGCAAAATTTCACATTCAAAATCTGACTTCAGCCATTTCAAAACTGGAACCAAAATTTGGATTTAGATACGGACCGCACATAAAACGAATCCCTTTTTGGCCATCATCCGAAAGGTGATGAAATGGATTTAGCGGGTTATGCATTCCAGCTGTTTAGCTGTAATGGCATTGGAGAGCGTTTGCCATATTTTCCCGGAATGTGAGTCGCACCATTTTACACTTCAAGAGCAAAGAAGGCAGGGGCGTCGGAAGATAATTTAGTGTGGTACGGTCAGCCACCTGAAGTACAATTTACTCGTGGGGGAGGGGTGGTTGAGCCGAACATTTTGGAAATTTAGAGCCCGAATCAATGCATTTTATTGATTCAGGGGATACTTTGGGCAAATAGTGGTATGGTCAATACCTTAGTGACCGTACCGTGTGCGACCCCCCTGGAAGGGATGCGACTTACAATTGAGTGTGACTTCCTACTTGTCTGAATGCATTGACACAATTTGGCTCAGACCTGAAAATGGGTTGCGACTTACGATCGGGGAAATGCGGTATGTGTTCAACGCTGCATGAGTATGAGGAATACATGAGTGAGATACAGTCGATTGGTGATCTATCACGGACTCGCTTTTCAGGAACTTCATTACGGCGTTCTATTGTTCATGCTGCTGTTTGGACCTACTGTATAGTGCAAGATTGACCCTTTGTCGGAAAACTGTTTTCGTTTATGACGAGGCATTACCCTCAAATCTTTCCAGGGTGTTGCAGGGTTCCTGCGGATTTCTCAAAACTCAGTCTAACTCAGTCTCAAGCGAGCCGTGAATGTTTTGGTAATGTGTAGACGAGCAAGTAAGCTAAGTGCACTCATGCAGTCGTTGGCCTCATGCTCGGCATAGTGATTGTGTTGTTTGCATCATGTGAGTGCCTTTCAGATGCTGGTTGAAGGACTTTGGCTGGGAAAAAAAACTTATCCTCCTGCAGATTAGCGTTCCGTTCATCAGGAGTTGGCTGTACATGGTCATACTGATTCAGACGCGTAGCACCCCCGTTGGAGGTGGTCCAGCCGGAGGTGGTCCGGGGGTCTCCCCAGCGGGAAAATTTTGAAATGAGGGTGCAGAATCCTGCATCCTGCGCACTATTGACAAAGCCTGATAAAGCCCTGTCCGCCGGAGTAACACTATGATCTTTACACTGTAGTCTTATAGTAGTTGAGGGGTTTGAAATGGGAATGGTTCGGACAAAATGACTGTCACCATCAGGACTCGAACAACAGGGACCTTTGTTTGAGGCTAGCAATGCTCTAACCACAGTTATAATTATGGTGTAGCTGTCATTACACCTGAGACTGTTCAGCACTTTCTTCAGATTTCGAAACTCTCGCTTCCTGTGAAACTACGTGTGTTAGGTTTTAGTCACAGATTTATATTATAATTCTATGTGTGCTTGTACATGTGTGTGTGTGTGTGTGTGTGTGTGTGTGTGTGTGTGTGTGTGCGTGTGTTCGTGTGTGTGTATGCGTGTGCACGCTTGAGAGTGTGAGTGCATGTGCGTGTGTGTGTGTGTGTGTGTGTGTCATTTTGTATCTGTGCGGCTGTGACCGCTTGTGTTTCGTTTTGCGAACAGGGGCACATGAAGCACTATTGTCCTGACTACCTGGAGCAGTGTCCCAACTCCGGTTGCAGTGCCACGTTTAGAAGGGCCGCACGCGAGCAGCATATCCAGAATGAGTGCACAGAACAGGAGATACCGTGCCCGCTAGGCTGTGATCAAATGGTTCGTCATGACGAATTATTTTAGATTTCTACAGTTCTGGTCTGTGATTTTGCCTACTGGTGCAGGCTGAGCAGTGCTGCGTGTAATACTAGTTTTGATGACATCACTATTTACTAGGCGTGAAACCGTTACACCGAATACTCGAAATAGAAATCGTTACAAGCTAACGATTGGATTATTCGAAAAGTTTCGATTACTCGATTATGCATGCAGTATACATAATTATCCACGTATGATTGTAGATCGACCGATGTGCGAGAAAAAATTGTCTCCTCCACGGGATCAATTTTGAAATTATAAGTTTTCGCATTTTTCGGCTTTACTGATACTGCTATTATCTGTGGAAGGAAAATAACCGATAACCGATCGATAAAGGTTTAGGTTATTTGGTAGTCAAAAAGTGTAATTGCTTCACCCCTACCATTATTTTACTAGTACTATAAAGTACTGCGAGAGTGCTCTGCCTCAGGAGAGCACCTCACCATGGTGGTATGGCCAGGGAAAGGAAACTCGTATGGCAGAGTGCAAGTAAGGCCTCTTGGCAAGAGAATCTTCATGGAGTGGTGTCACGCTTGGCAAGAGAATCTTCATGGAGTGGTGTCACGCTTGGCATGTCCCTGTGTGCAGCACCAAGGTAGACTCAGTACGGATTGATTGCACAATGGGCAATGTGCATAAGGGTTTGTGTTATATGACTTACAGATAGAACACCACCTTTAAACACGAGCACGACAGGAAATGATTGGTGGGGTGCTCTCGCAGCGTGTTACCGTACTTTTCCAACGACTATCGTCGTCTCTCTCTCCTCGTCTCTCTCATACTCTCTCTCTCTCTCTTTATTTCTCTTTATTTCTCTCTCTCTTTCTTTCTCTTTCTTTCTCTCTCTCTCTTTCTTTCTCTTTATTTCTCTCTCTCTGTCTCTCTGTCTCTCTTTCTGATGAAATCTGTTCTTACTCTGTAGATTCGCAAGTCTACAATGGCCACTCACGTTACCAATCCTCAGTATGTTGGTTTCCACTCAACGGGAATAATGGACAAGGTGGTGCAGCTGGAGAAACATCTAGTGGCCAAAGATGCCGTGATTGCCAAGCAGCAGGCAGACATTGAATTCTTGAAGGGAGGTCTTAGGGAGCTGCAACGTCGAGAAGGTAGGCGCGTGTGTGTGTGCGTGTGTGTGTGTGTGTGTTTGCATGTGTGTGTGTGTGTGTGTGTGTGTGTGTGTGTGTGTGTGTGTGTGCGTGTGTGCATGTGTGTGTGTTTGCGTGCATGTATGTTTGAATTTATTCCCAAAACAATGGCGCGGTGCTCCTGGTTCAGGTGGCAACCAATGGAATAATGGAACATATCGATAGGCAACAATTCACTGATGACTCGACTCAAAAGAAAGAATAATCATAATCTTGTTATCACAGGCTCACAGCTATAAAGACAACTCCACCAAGCGTGGATATAATGTGTTTCAAGATCATTCGCCGACCAGAGATCCGGCGTTTGAGAATGCTTGGCGATCGATGCTGCTTTCGTAGCTTGTTTGCCGATCTCTGAAAGGCACGATTAGTTGCAGTCTGCATGTGGTATTCCCAGCTCTACACTCTACCATATTACAGTCGCCGCCCTAAAAACCCGGCCAATGCCAGTACACTGGTGTGCTACGTGGACACGGTGGTGCCACACGGTAGCATGCATGCCTTTAACCAGTGTTTGCTGTCGATGTACCAGCGCTGTATTAACTGCACTAACTATGCACCCACATACAGTGGTGACCCGTGAAATCCGACCCCTGGCTTTCTTGCTCGGGTGCAGCACCGATTCTTAGCGGTCTGTATTTCGTAGTGTAACTGGGTCTTGCAATGCGAGCGCACCGCTCCAGGGGTCGGATTTCAGTTGCCAGCACTATTCATGATAGGTTTGTTCTATGCTAGTGCGTGTGTTAGACCACCATGTACAGCATAGGCCAGAGGTTTTTGTCGATGACTGTCTGATGCAATGATGCAACCATCATCAGTATACTGTGAAACGTGGTCCGTCACGTTGTTGACTCTAACCCAAGTCTGATTCAAACTGTGCCGTGTGTGTGTGTGTGTGTGTGTGTGTGTGTATGTGTGTGCGTGTGTGTGTGTGCGTGTGTGTTCAGACGAGAGGCGTCAGCACAGTGATCACTCTGCGGCTGCTAGCATTCAAACCCACCGAGACCAGGAGTCAAACACAGCCGTAACGACTGCATCGCAACGTGATGAAGTCTCTGAGTGTGCATCTCTGGAGAGGCGAGTCACTGATGTGGAAGCATTGGTGCGCACGGCCAAGGTATGTGGAATGAAGCTTGCGCCCCCCCCCCCCCCCCCCCCACGCACACACACACACACACACACACTCAACTACCACTTGCTGCCGAAATTGTGATTTCTCTGTTTCCACTGTTCTTCCTCTGTCTCGCGGAGTCTCGCAAGCAAAAGGCTATGTGGAGAGTGTTGATTCTTGACTGGATGAATAGGCTAGTGTGTATTGTTTGTATTGTTAACAATCAATTTCTGTCGTTTGTGTGTGTGTGTGTGTGTGTGTGTGTGTGTGTGTGTGTGTGTGCGTGTGTGTCTGTGCGTGTGTGTCCGTATATGTGCATGTGTGTGCGCATGTATTTGCCTCGCCGCCCTATTCTACATGTTCCAGGCTGCACACGAGCAAAGTCCCGCTGCACGCGATGCTCTGGTGAAGCAAGTCGATGTCCACGATCTACGACTACTCGAGCTTGAGAAGACAAGCTACAACGGGTCATTGATCTGGAAGGTAGAAGGCTTCGAGAAGCTTCTGCAGGACGCAAAGGCAGACAAGAAGGTATGCTATTATGTTGTGGATGAGGAGTTTCGGGAGTGTTTGGTGCACCGGGAAACAAAACAAACCATTTCCAAAATGGCTTGAAACTTTGTTGAAAGTGATGACACCAGAAGTCCACGAATAAGGACTTCTGAGTCCTATTGGATCCGCCCTCACCATCGCAAAGTGCAGTACAAGAACGATGGTTTTGTATGCTAAAGTCGTGGCCCTAAAAATCCGGCCAATGTTGATACAGTGGTATGGTACGCGGACACGGTGGTGCCACACGGTAGCATGCATGCTTTTACCCTGCACGGCGACGGTGACTCCCTCGGTGTAGGCGAAGGCCTGTGGAGAATCCGTAAATACAAAATACAAATACAAATTTTAACTCGGATACTGAGCCAATAATTAATGTAAAAAAAAAGAGAAGGAAACACAGGAGAACGAGTTATGCAGCAACTATCCACGACTGTGACAAGATGATAAAGAGTCAGAATGTGCGATAATAGGGCATCTTTCAAGGGTGTGCACGGCCGCATATGTGTAGGATAGCCGGTGCATGTCATTCACGGTCAGAATATGCATGCTGAACCTATGTCGAAATATTTTTTTGGGGGCAGCAAGTGCCCCCCCCCCCCCCCCCCCCCCGCCCGTGCCCCATGCGGGCTATGTACCTGCAGAATCGTGAGAATGATGTCATGATACCTA